TTGCAGCGAGAGAAAAGCAGAGCCCAGCAGTTTTGTCACAGCCGGGACTCAAGAGGGACCTTCCTGGTCAGGAGCCAAGGCATTAGGAGTCACTTTGACTAACAAGTTTACAGAGCAATCCCATTTTTTAAAGGTGAAGCACAAAGCTTGGATGCAAATTAAATTGCACTTGGAGGTCGCTGCTAAATGTCTTTGCTAGCTAAGAGCCATTGGGTGAAAATGGGCTTTAATTAGCCTTTCTAAAAATGTCCTTACCCTGGCAAACCTGCTGGCAGCTGTTAGCATGCTAAGGATGTTAAAACACCCGGTGGCATCACTGATGGTGGTGACCATGACGGGGACCCTTATTGCATGAGCCACTGAGGCAGTATGAGGGGAGCAATGGGGCACTTTGGTCCTTGGGGACAGGCCCAAGACCACAGGGCTTTTCTGCTGCAGGCAGATAAAGGTCAGGCGATGCAGCTGCCAACATCTGGGGCTGGCTCTTAAATCATGTGCTGGATGCAGGAACACTTGGCACTTGCCCAGCGCTGACTCCATTCCAGGCTACAGAATGAATCACGGAGGGGAAAGGCCCAGGAACAGAATTTGAGCTCTCCTGAGTTGAACAGGGCAGAGTTTGCCCAAACCCGGGGTTATAAACCATTCCCAGGGCTTGCAAGCATCTCCTCATTTCCAGGCCTCTGACGTCCCTCCCCAAGACAGACACGGTTAGGAAGAATGATGTCGGTGCTGGAAAGGCTCCAAACCACCATCTAATTTGGGAAGAAAAAGCATCCCTGCTGCTAATGGGAGAGGTCACCTTCTCACCCAGAAACAGCCTTGGGGCTGCACGCGGGGACTCCTGCCAGGCGCATCCCAGCCTGTTTCCCGTGTCCCTAGCACAGGAAAACTGCCCCAGTGTCCCGGGAAGACCCTACTACTGAGGACACAAGACACAAAATAACTTTTGTTATCAAATTACCACTTTCAATACACAGATCTAATCTCATCTTGTCCATCCAGGCTAAAACAAAACCCCTTCACATCTGCTGTTGGTAAGATCATTCCTTCAAGCCCACATCATAGGCGGTGAGACCGCGTCTTGCAGGTCCCCGCCTGGTTTTTGAATATGTTATTTATAGCTCAGCTATTTTCCTGTTCTCTCCATCAAACCTGACTCCTACAGAGGGCAGGGGCAGAGCCGTTTCGCAGAGCAAGTACTAGGAAAAAAAATATGAGGCTTGGAGAGAAAGGAGCTGCCAGCCTGGCCCTTGTGTTATCCAATAGCCTGAACCACCTCTGAGGGCATCAGGCACCAGCCCAGTCCACCTGAGAAATCACAGCTTTCTCCAGAAGAGAGTCTAATACATGGTTTTAATCCTCCAGACATCAGGAGATAAATGTGCTCTCCTGCATCCTATGCTGTCTGGGGACATGAAGCCCGTGGCTAAGGAAGCATGATCCAGACTTTCCAAAGCTCTGCTTTCTTACTCACCATATGGCAAAGCTTTCCCTGGCACTTGCTGCTGCGAGCTATGCAGGAGGTAGCCCGGAGGCTCTGTGACTGGGATGGACCGTCTCCGAGCGCGCCGAAGCCGTCTCGCTCCCATGGGATGTACTCTGCATCCAGGCCACAGGGCTTTGAACACATGTGGCTGATACACATCGCTCCACAACCACATCGGACTGCGCTGCTGGGAGCAAAGCGCCTTACCTTGCCACGCTCCTCAGGCGCCCTTCCTCCTTCCCTCCGTCCTCATCCTCAAGGCGAGCCTTGGGCTTCCCGCTGCGGCGCGCATCCTCCCGCTCCTGGAAGAGGGACAGGCGGCACCGGCTCGGCGGGGTCCGGCACCGGCGCCCACGGGATGCTCGCCCAGGTGCTCCCTGTGGGCTGCGGGGACGGGGAGAAGCCCGGAGCACGCGGTGCTCTCGCCTGTGCAACCCAGAACGGAAGAGAAGAGGCACCTGCTCAGTGCCCACCCGTCACTTCATGGGCGTCTCTCGGAAAAAGGAAGCAATGGAAAAGCTTTTCCGTGGCTCTGCAAAGGCTGATGAGGAAAGTGCCACCTAATCAGATCTCCCTATCACGGCTGCAGCTCTGTCCAGCCGCCTCCAGCAACCCCCAAGCGCCGTTTGGGCTGCGGAGGAAACTTTCGGAAAGGCGCCCGGCCGGGATGCCAGGGGCAAGGAGGTGCTGAAGCTGCCTCCGCCTCCCACGGCTTCTTCCTATGATTAATCACTCTCTCCATTTAAATATTTATGCCTTATTTCCAACGTGTCTGGCTTCAGCTTCCAGACAGTGAGTCTCATCATGCTTTTCCCTGCTCCATTAACGAGTTTTTGAATCCCAAGTATTTTTCTCCCGACTCCGTGAGAGTTTTTAGGTGCTTTAACGGAGCCCCCCGCTCCCTCTTTCTCCCTCCCTCCCGTCTGCCCATCGGCTCCTGTGGGAAGCTTGGTGAGTGCTTAATTCCTCATCCCAAGGAGGAATGGGAAAACACTCCAGGCTCCAGCCAGGACTTCTTGGTGCAACAAGGTTTCCATTCAGCTCTAACGACACTGCTGCTCATCAGCCTGCTCTGGATGCTATTAACACTGTACTGACCTGTGTGTCATCTACAGGCTTTTCCAGAAACAATCTGCATCTCTCTCCTGATTGCTATGAAAGCACCAAAACTCCTTCCTAGCAATGCCCAGCAGTGGGTGAAAACCTCCTCTGACAGCTGCTTTTGCTACAGATCAGGTTTATTTAGTACAGGCTTCCATGACATGGCGTCTTGTCAGCTCTAACTGCTGCAGAGACTCTTTTTATTACCATAGAGTGCAGATTTTAACAGAAATATCACATTGCATAACTCGGATGCCTTCACAAAAGTGCAGCACAGTCATGCAGTCACCTCTCTCAGTAGGGAATGAAATCACTCCTGCCTGACAAGAGTTGTTTTCCATGGAGCCACGAGCATCAGGAACAAAATTCATGCTGTGCAGCAAGTCTTTAATCAATTAAACCCTGAGCCAGGTATCATCTTGTTTTCCCCAGGCAGGCCGACATCAAGCCAATCAACCTGTAGCCACCAGGTCATCTTACTCCCTTTTGGGAGGAGCAGCAACACTATTAAAGCACTTTTTAATCTCCTGGAATTTCCCTAGGGATTATCCCAAAGTAGACGCCAGCTCCACATGAGCGTGTGTGCATGCACGAGCAGGCGGGTGAGATTTTGGCTACAGCCATCCCACAGCTACAAGCAGAAAAACTATTTCCCCATGTTCCTATTTGAAATTTTCCTCTTTTTTGTTTTTTATTATTATTATTTTAACGGAAACAGTGCAGACTTGCAGCCTGGGCATAATGGGGACAGCCGCAGCCCAGACGCTCCGAGCGGAGGGAGAGGCCGCTCCGGCGCTGCAATGTGGAACGAATTATAACTCAGAGAGGAAATGAGACCGCTCCAGGCTCGGCAGCTCCGACGTGGGCTCCGAGAGCGAGTCCTGCCCGGCGCCCATCCTGCTTCCCCGCTTCCCTCCCCTCAATTTCACATCAAGCTTCTACTTTCGAGACCGGCGTTTTATCACCCATGTTTTATCTGCCTAATCTAGGGACAGATCCGAGCTCGATAAAGTCAGTGCCAGCCTGGCTGCCGTCTTTAGCCGGATCAGGGCCGGTAAACTCCTTACCGTGTTATTATTAGCAGCAGCCGTTCTGCTGCAGCACTCCAGACCTGTGTTAAAACAAGAGGCAGTTCCAGCCTTGCAAAGCCTAAATTTTTTCCTAAAAGCAGTTCCAGCTCTGCAGATTATAATGACTTGGGACCCAGTTCTGCAGGGAACAGGCTGCAGCACGCTCCACTCAAGGAAGCAAGAGTCCTCTAGCACTTCTTTTCTTGCTGTTTTCATTATTTTACAGGTTCTTTTGAGCTGCCAGCATGCATCAGCTCTGTGGTAAGGCGCGGGTACAAATGATAGCCCTCTGCTGCGCACCTCTACTCACAGGCACGCAAGGAGCAGCTTAAAGAGAGGGCTTGCTTTCAACTGCCTTTTGAGCAGCCGGGTCTCAGTAGGCTGCCTAATTATAAGATCTTAGTGGTATTTTCTTTTTTCTTTTTTCTTTTTCCCAGCGATAATTAACTGCTCTGAAGAGCCCTGAAAATAGGCACTTGGAAAGCAAGTGGCAAACGCCCCTGAGTTTTCTCTGTGGCAGTTACAACTCTACAAGAAATTGCTCCATGCTCACCGGACAAGGCCGAATCTGTCACCTCCATGCCAAGACCAGGGGTCCCAGATAGTCGCAAGGAGGTGAAATATGGAGCGCGCAAGGGGAGAAGGATCCCATAGGTGCTGCGATGGAGAGGGGTGCCCAGGTGCTTCCTGTGCCCGGTGCTGTTTGCAAGGCAGGGCTGGTCGCCACGGGCAACCACCCAAGCCCTAACTCTGCTTGGGGCTTTCCAAGGGGATAAACACAACTCTTCCCGCACGGGCAGGCAGCGGGACCGGCTGCACAGACCCCAGGAGGCGCAGGGTGCCTGCAAGCAGAGGGACCTCGACCCGCGGCGAGAGGGAGAATCCAAGAAAACGGGACGCTGGACAGGCTCCATCCGCGCCCCCCCGCGCGAGGTACTCACCGTGCGGGGCCGGCTCCACGGCGGGGGCGGAGCGG